CCATAGCTTTACTGTTCCTCGATGCCACCTCTCCTGTGGCAGCAGCTAATTCGCCCCTGCAATGCAGCTTGTGCCATTTCTTCCTTTTTGAAGAAGATGGGGAGTCAGCATCTCCCCTGGGCAAGATTCTGGCTCCTTCTTATAAACATTTCTTTCCCCGTTTTGCACCTTCTCTCTTTTCCCCACAGCGAGGTTTCTGCCCTGATCAGTAAGGTGAGACTGGCAACTTTTCTATCAAATCCTTTCCCTTTTAGCTTCCCTTCAGGTGCTTCTTCCCTTCTTTTCTGGCTCCATAACCAGTGCAATTACCTCTCTGATGATTTCCTGGATTTTCCATCTGCTCGAAATAGGCACTTGTGAGCTCTCTTGTTAATTAATGTGTTCTAAAATCATTATGTTCATCAACCAAGCCTTGTGACTTCCAATTTTTCCATAATAGTAAATGCTATCGCCCCAAGTAAAACATGGGTATTTTGACGTTCAAATTTTAGTAAACTCAGTTTTGAACAGAGGTTAATCGCTCAAAGCAGAACCGCTACTAACCGGGAGTATCAACAACGCACAAGCACACCGCTCTTGCTTGTTATTAAGGCTTTGCACCTCCGGCTCAAACTGACAGAATTTCAGAGATTTGTGTTACAAATTCTTTTTGCAGCTTTGGCGTCGGACCCAAAGCACATTCTCTGCCTCAGTCTGCACTGGGTATTTTGTTAACTGTATTTTAAGCTGTGCCAGCTTTTGCTATATATTATTACCTGTGTTCTTCCTGACTGGCAATGAAGTGTTTTAGTAAAGGCGTGTATAAACAGCAATCTGTGACTTGGGCAATAAAACTGGCAACTGGTTGTGAAGAGGTCACCAAGAGATAATTCTACTGCGTTTGTCACATACGGTTTGAATGGAGAAACAAGTTCCCTGTGTGGTACTTAGCAGACACACAATACCCCAAACATAACAGAATTTAGTAAAGAAAAAGACCTATCAGATCTTGTAGTTCTGCTTTCTGATAAATTTGGTGACAAAGGTACCCCACAGTTTGAGTGGTTTTATATGAAGAAAAAACCTCTAGTAATTGCATCTAGGGAGGAAACAAAATACTTAGAGAAATGCTTCTGCCTTGTGTGCTGCCTAACACACAATCTTACTTCTATTTTAAAGTTGAGAGCTACAAAAAAGAGCTATCTTCTATCCCACAGCCTACACTGATCTAATCAACCTCTTGGATGACCAAAGACACGAAGGGTTCACTTCTCACTACACAAGGACCAGAAAACAAGGTAACTCATACTAATGTAAGTGCAGTTACATTACCAATTTTGGCAACCAAAAAGAAAGATTATTTACCAGTAACCACACTTCTTTGAAATATATTGCCCATATATACCCTGGTATTGCAGGTGTTCTTATTACAAGCACCTCTGCAGATGCCCATTTTGCCTCATCAGTACCTGCAGGCGCGTTCATGCCCTACCTCATCCTGAAGCCATATAAATATTGAGCTTGTCCTATGGTGCCAAGCTTCTCTCAACGCTAGGACCCCAGAGTCCTGCAGTTCTCAGGAGAGTCCCCCTCTTTCCAGGAGAGGGGGGGCGATAAGAGCTTGGTAGTGAATGTATCTGGTCCTAGTGCCAAGTCTGGCAGTCCTGAAGGTCAACTACAGGACATGGATCTTGCTCCATCCAGCCCATTGATGTGATGATGTATATATGCCATCACCTGGGCAAGCTCAGGCAGTGTGAGAACTTGTAACATGCATTTGGCACTGCTGTGAATCCCAGCGAACGAAATGCAAAGTCTGTGAGGCTCTTGGATTGCCGGGGGAAAGTTCCAGTCCAGACTAAGAAACACCAGTAATTATCTTTCAAGGCAAAGGAGGCAAACACAACCATGTCTCTTGGCAGATGCTGGGGTACAGGAGGCGGTCCAGCCAAAACCAGAGGGGCCACAGGAGGAAGGAACAGTTGGGAGGGTCTGTTCCTAGAGTCAGACATGCAGAGGGATGCATGCACATCCTTACGTGAAGGGGAACATAAGTGCAGGGTGCCATATGGCTCAGAACTGCCAGACGTGTCCTCAACATGATGACAGGACCTGCCTGTAATTGCCTGACCAGTTTTTCCACTGCATGAAAAGTGCTCCTGTGGGAGATAAGCTTTTGCTGGTATTGTTTCCAGGCAGGCTCCAGGAAATCCAGTGAACTGTGTCAGGAAGAGGAAGGACTCGTCCTGCTTCACCACAAACCCCAGGGAGCTGAAAACTTGACGTGCTGTCTCTAGACCTCGAAGGACTGGCATCTTCAGTGATGCCCTCAGCAGCCGGTTCTCCAATGAAGACCAAAAGGCTAATCCCCATGTTCTGAGATGAACTGAAATCGTAGCCTTGAAAAAGCCTCGTCGCGTCACGCAGCACCTTGAGTACACAACGTCACAACCCAAAGACTTTTCAGATGAGACTGCCTGAACATAAGCACCCAGCAAGCCAAGAGCGTTGCTGCAGTTGACTGAGCTGACTGATTTCTAGGATGCCCTGGCTCTGAGATCTCCCAGGACCCTAGAGGAAGCCCAAATACATAAGCAGTAGATCTCTCTGCAGGTGCGTGTGATGCCTGGCCGTCATGCACAGCAATGAAACCTCTTACTGGTGGTTTTGCATGTGACCAATGTAAATCAAGAGATACGACAGATAATGAAAATAATTTTAAAGAGAAGAAAAGGCTGCACTAAAATAAGGAGTAAATGAAATTAAAAAAATGAACAAACGCAGGCAGAGAGAACAGGATGTTGGTGTGCCGTGCTGCTCCTTCGCAGCAGCAGCAAAACTAACATAATCCAGTACAGATTTAACAAAGCGAAGTGGTGAAAGGAAATTACATAAAAGACAGAAAGGTACCAATAAAACAGAGGTGCAATGCAAATTTTTCTAAATGCTTCGGCAACATAACGACGCACCGGAGGAGCCAAGCTGGTGAAAGAGCTGTATGATACACCCCGTTCCTCCAGGGCTGCAGGAGGATGAACAGCGGAGCGTGGCCAACATGGACTGCGAACACACACACACACACACACACACACACCTCGGGCTGGAGCACAAGCGACAGGAGCACACCCAGCATGTACGGACAGACAGATGCATGCTTGGAGGAGAATGCTGGATTCCCTTCTGAGAAACATTAGTGTCGGGACTCCCAACAGGCTGTCTGCCAAGGGGGATAATTAAGCTAAATAAAAGTACACAACAGTAACAGCTCTACAAATGAGGATAATTTAATTACCACATTCGATATAGGAGCCCACTTCCCATGAGTTTTCCATTGTGACCAGATAGGAGACAACAGCAACAGAACGTGCTGCAGAAAGGAAGATTCATTTACTAAAAGGAGGCTTTCTGTTCGGGTCTGCATATTAAACAAAATCACAGCTTTCCATAATCACATCACAATCTTGCCATAACAACAGCTTGTGAGTGTCCAAAAATCAATGGAACTGGATGAGAAATGATTGCAGACGTAGCACTGGAACTTTCTTTCAACACTCAACCCATGGCGGTGGTCAGGAACACCCAAATAACAGGCAAGCAGGGCATCTGCAAACACCTCTTAGGGAAGAGCTCCTCTCCCTCAAATTCAGAGGAAACACAACCTGTAGGCACACTACAGTTCACTTAATACTAATACTACCCGTTTGTTTGATTTTTGGAAAAAAGGAGGTCATTCTATCCACTCATTTCTCCTAAAATGAAATAGTTGTCAAACCGAACAGGGCATAGTCTCATCTGGAAACCCAACCCAGTAGCGTAAATTCACTCAGCTGAATTTAAAATACAAAGCTGCAGATTTGCTTTATTCATTAGTGCTGAAATGCAATAGAAAGCGAGCACTAACGTGCTGGGCTTCTGAAGAGCTTTATACACTGTGTAATGCACCTCTAGGGTGCTCATCTGTTAAGTGAGAGAGAAGTGAAAATATTTTTCCTCCCTTTCTCTCTCTAGTGAAAACACTTAGTGGACAGCACAGGCTCAGTTCTTTTGAAAGTAATGGAGCGAGTGTATCCACTCAATTATTTAAAACAGTTGAGTAATTGCAGTCCTGTCAGCTCAGAAAACATCTCTCTGTTAAAGCTGCTGCACAAAACCATTTCTGTGCAGGCGGTCACAGTAGCACCAGTTTTCTCTTTATTTATTTCCACATTCTCCGAGTTGGAGCCACTGGCGAGGGACGAGGCTGCATGCCCCCGTTTGCAGCTGGTTTTGCTGCAGGGTAAAACTCAGTCAGTAGAAGGAAGGAGGGAGGGAGGGAGGGAGACCTTGGGAGCTTTTTTGGAGGTGGCAGGTTTATATGTGGGCTGTGCTGGCTGATGACTACATAAATCCTTACAGAAATCTCTCAGGGCATGGTGTGTGCCGGAGATAAATATTGCAATAGCAGGCTTACAGGAAAATGGATTCAGACAGCTGGGAGAGTCCAAGGAGGGAACAGGATTGGGAAGAAAGTCCTCTTGCTAAAGACCCTCTGGAAAAGCTCCTTTAGCAAGGGCTAGGAGATTGGAAGGTTACCACGTTTGCCTTCCAGAGATTCCAATGCACAGAGGAAAAGCACCGCAGAGTATGCAAAGATCGCCAGACATTTCTTCCCTAGCCCCAAACCACACAGAATCACAGCTCCAATGCACACACGCGCCAGCAGCATGGCTTTATTCCACAACTGCCCTGCACTCGGTCCTGTCCTGTTCCAAAGCGTGCATTTTGCCTCCTCTGTCAGGGATTGTAGGACGCAGAACAAGAACCACCAGACCGACGAGCCAAGTCATGGCCATGTGCACGTCCATTTAGCTTGACCATTTGAAAACCAAGGTTTGTTCCTTTCTCTTTACTATTCTCACCAGTAATGGCTTTCTGGGACAGTTTTCAAGCAGGTTGCAAGAAGCAGGTACCAAGGCAAATGAATTATATAAAGCACATACCGACAACGTTGAGAGTTTTCACACCTTCGTTAGCTGGCTCACCTTAATGGGTACTTCTCTCCAGGGTCCCTCCCCAGGTGGAAAAGCAGCGGCAGGGTAGTGTGCTCCTCCTGTGTATGTGTTGTCACTCCAGAGACATTCTGCCCGGGACAGAAATCAATGCCCTGCAGTGAACAGGAGAGAGGTCGTCAAGGGTGCAGCAGGGGAGGGAGCAAAATTTTAGCTGATACCACTTTCTTCGGCATCTTGTTCCAATATACCCACAAATGCCAGAATTATTTTAAACTGAGAGTCCACTTCAGTCTGCAAAATGGATTCTGATCTGATGGGGTAAAATAAGGTGACAGTGTTGGCATTGCACTGACATAAAAGCTGGAGCAGGCCTTACATTTTTGCCTCATAAAAAAATAATCTCTATAAAATATTCATTACAATGAAATGGCAAAACAAAAGAAAGAGGTGAAACCATTTAATCATAAGGATCCTGCACGTGGAAAGTATCTTCTCTCTTCAGTTTCTATGGCTTCAAAATACAGAGAGGATCGGATCGCTTGGCATATCTGATGGAAAAGCAACAGTCCCGGGGGAAATATCCAGTCAAACCAAGGGGCATCTCCCTGAGAGGCAATGGGCCTGAAAACTCAGCTTGCCAGCACCTGACGCCAGACCTGTTTCGCTGAAGAACGAAGCAAATCAAGTTGATTTTAAAGAAATGGGTGCATTTGTTGATGTGATTTATAGCATCTCACCTGAGGCACTCACCTGGGAATGAGAGTGGGGCTGGAAGAACTGTATTAAGTCTGGAGGTAATTCCTGCCACTAATATTTGAGTCTAGGGGGTCAGAAGCCGGGATTTCCCCAGTGGCAGCAGTGGGAATGGAGGGCACCAGCACTAGGACTCTCCCTTGGCTAGCAGCAACGGGTTAACGCTGGCCACCAAGGGACAGAGAGAGCTGCCTGCTCGCAAGTCCAGAGCGGTGAGCTCTCTGCACCCGTCCTTGCACGCCGTGCCAGGCTGCGTCTCCCGAAGCCCAGCCGGTTATTAGCCAGGTGTCGAGCTCCCTAATCACCTAGAGCCTGGCCTGCACTCTTGAGGGCTAACAGAAGCCATTTAAGCCCTGGGAATAGCAAAAAATGCACAGCACTAATTTCACTGAACAGCAAATAAAGCAGGGGGCCCCACAGACCAGCAAGGACTAGCACCAAATAGACTTGTTAAAGCTCAGTTTTACAATTCCAGCTAACATGCTGCGCTCTTTACAATACCTCAAAATGCCCCGAGACACGGACAGAGACCTGGAGAGAAGGTAAATGGGAATATTTCAATGGAGGTGGGAAAGCAGCTGTAGCATTTGCTTATAAAACAAACTGAAAAGGCTCTCTACAGATGTTGGTAGGATTTGACTGGCAAACAATTTTCTAAAAATATCCTGTGTTTTTAATGGACAGCTGGCCAGTGGAGCAGTTAATATTCTGCTTTTCAATAAAGCAAGAAGTTTAGAAGCCCATGAAATCCCATTTATCTGCACAGAGCTATAGATTCCTGAATCACTGACTGTAAAAATAAGAGAGTTGGTGGATAGGTTGTAGTGGCCGACCAATAATGGACTTTAAATGGATACAAAAACGATTGACCTTTCCACCTTGTGACGCCACAGGCCTCTGAAACACACAGTGAAAAATAGATTTATTTTTTTTTTCCTCAAAAGGAACAGTTAATGAAAAGGTATCAAAGCCTACATAACATCCAAATTATAATTTGGATGCAAATCAAACAAGCAATTTAATTAAGAGGCTGCTAATTGGTACAATGCTCTTCAGCTGCAAATGCTTTAGTTTGAAAGATTTTGGTCTCTTGGGTGTTTGTTTGTACATTGCTCTGTTTACATTTTATCTTTTGTTCCTTATAAAATCCTTGTAGCTGAGACTCCAGAACACAGCCCAGGCTATGTCCCAAAGACTCCTAGGAAAGAAAGCGCTGGGACAATTTGCCTGACGCCAGTAGCCAAAAGCTATCTCTGTAATCTAAGCACTCAGTGCCCTCTCCAAAAGCAATCTATTGGGGAAGAAATAAAATAAGGGAAAAATAAAAATCAAGCACACCGTTTTACAACGCTGATAAATAACACTCTTAAAAATACGGCTGAAACCACCCTTTGAATTTCTAAGGCCTTTCACCTTTATCTCCACAAATAAAATTGACTATTACTATTTTTATGGACCATGTGACTGCCAACATTCAAACTACAGAAAGCCAACATTCAACCTGCAGGAAGAGCTGAAAATATTTTCTACCCGCTCATCAATAAATGAGCAAAAAATAAGAGGCAAAATTATATCCTCACAGATGGAGGCATCGTCCAGCATCACAGTAACACGTTACAGTAGAGGAACCCTGTCTTCTGTCCCTGAACTTATTATCCACAACTCTGTGTAATTTGTTTTTTTGTAGGTCAAAGCATTTTCAGTTGTCGGGATGGAAAAGAGAAAAATCCGCTATGTCAGTGAATTGGAAGTCTGGGATCCCCAAGTCTGGATTGCTTTTCTTTTCTGGAGGAAAACCAGTATAAATTAAATCTGCTTGAGATTTGAGGAGTATTTAAAGATGAGATGATCCACACTCTGGAGCTTCTGGACAATGGCTCTGGTTGCTTGGAGAGGATGGAAATTTGGGCACGTGTGGAAGGGAGAGCTGGGGTGGAGGGACACGCCAAAACTCCTTGTGGGTGTCTGATGGGAGAGAAGGGGCTGCCCTCCCGCTCTGCTACCCCAAGCAGGCTGCAGGAGAACAGGCCTGGTGAGAAAGGTAACTCTCTTCTAGATGATGCTTTTAAATCATGTCACCATTTTGGATCATTTCTTGCTCTTCATTAAATACAACTTTTTTTTTTTCCTCTTGTAAAAGCCTGAGCTGACAACAAGCCCCATGGACCACAAGAATACCGCAGGCTTCAACAATAAATGCAAACATGCCAGGTTCTCAGCCGGAGCAAAAGCCACATCATCCCAGGGCCACAGAGGAGCTCTCCCCATCTACGCTGACAAAGGATCAGCTTCAGCTCTCTGGCACTGCCAAGAAGGTGGCAGCTTCACCCCAAAATAAAGCTTTGCTATGCTGGAGGAGAGCAAAGAGGTGGCTATGCCAGCCCTACCCACTGGGATAACAAAACCCAAATCAACTACCACTTCCATCTGCTCTTATTCCCTTTAACCTATTTATTTGGCAGATTGTTAATAACAATATGCAGGGGATCAATAGCCAGTTAAAGCCTAATATTTTACTCTGTACCCTATCCAAGGTAATTTGCATGCTTACAGGTAACACCGATCAAACAAAGGAGAAAGGTCACTCCCTGTGTTCAAGCAAATTCTTGGATCTTTTCTCCTCAATTATAAAAGCATGAAAGCTAAACCAGAAGAACCTATCTAGAGCATGGCTGTGCCTTCTAAGGGAGCCCATAAAAGAGCATCAGATGGCAACCAGAAATAGCTCAGCTCCTGCACCCGCTCTCTTGCACAGGCACAGTATTTTGCACCACCGCGCAGACCTGTTTGCTGTAGGAGAAATTCCAGCAATCCTTTTTTTTTTTAAAAAAAAAAAAAAAAACACAACCCAAGACATTTCCTGCGCATCAGGTAGACCTTTCAGTGAGCACGTCTTTCTGCCCTTCTCCCCAGCAATCGCGTAACCCAGATTGTTTTTCTGTTCATAAGATCTAGTGGCTATTGGTTGCACAGCTTATGCTTTAATTTCCAGAGCAAATGGACCACAGATGCTATGTCAATATAGACATGAGACAAATACAGCCGGTTGCCAGTTTGGGCTCTCCGCCAAGTGATGGAATCACCACTTGTGTTAACGTGAGCCCTCTGGCAATTCGTCACCCTGGCGCTATCCCAGATCCCTCCGACTTGACAAGCGGCTGCAGATTTAGATAGTGGCGCAGCAAATCTGGGGTCTGCCTCCTGGTCATGTCTCCTCATTCCGCCACACAAAACCCAGAGCAGCAAAACTGTATTAATATTGGAAGGAGAAAAGAACAGCAGTTAATTAAAGCCAGGAAATGTTGTTTCTTGCTGTTTGCCACAGCACGGGTAAGTGGCCGTTCTCACTCTCCTGGCAATTCCCAGCAAAAGCCTCCTGAACTGGAGCTCTGAATGGCCAGACACCTGAAAGTGTGACTGCCAAGCTTCAACCCTGTTGAACAAAAATTGCTTCTAATGTGTTAACTGTCTGGAAGAGACTCCAGAAGATGGGCACATCAGCAAGCCTCCAGCGGCTCTCAAGCAGAAGCGATCAATGGCTAGCTCATATGCTCAGAGGACCACAATCAAATGTCATTATTTGTGAGGTTCTACTTGACTTCACATCCCCCTTGCAGAAAAGGCTTTATTGATCCCTTCACGTGGAGAAGGGCAATCAGACTGCGGCAGGAATAACCCCTTTGGCATTTTACATTAAAACAATCGGGTCTTCTGGCAGGCACCTACGCCAATCATTTAAAGACACAGGAGCTCTCAGGAAAAACCACTGAAGACTACTAACAAGATACTAAGCTGACAGCAGAGAGGTTGATGTTATCAGCCACTCTCCAATGAACCAAAGGGCGGTTTCCGCATTTTTTTCTTAATTATTTTTTTCCCCTTCTTGCATCACTGCTCTCCCAGGGCACAAGAACTATTCTCTGCTGGAGAGTCTCTGTGGCAGGCAGAGAGAAGGAAATTTCCTTTCTCCTGCTAGCTCAGACTCCTGCCTCCTCTACATAGCATTAAATTAAGCAATTCCTGAAGGACCTCCTGGCTACTCAGACAGATCCATGGAGAATACCCATTTTTTATCCCTTTCAGACCTCTCCTTCCAAACAAGAAAGATTAAATACACCTCTCCCTTCAATCCAGCGGACAGAATAACCGATAACAATGCAGACTCTGAGCGTTCATATTTTAGGAATGGGAAGCTGTGCACCCAGCGTCATGGCTGTGGGCACCAGTAGCAATAAAACAGGAACGCCGAGTTCGCATGCGTTATTTGTCGTGCACTTTGCAATCCAGTTTGAATTTGGTGACGAACAAGTGTGACTTACAGGGTAAACGGCTGGATGATGAGAGCAATGAGAAGAGCATTTTACAGGAGTCTCCCAGTAAGAGTCCTGCGTGTCTTATGCCGTACAAGAGAGGGAGCTCCCCAGGTTTACCCTTAGTTCTTACTTCTGCCCCAACACACAACAGAAGTGGCTGTTTTTATCACTGCTGCTTTTTGCTACGAGGAGAAGGGTGGTGGATGATGGTGGAAGAGCTTACGCGCTGATATCCACCAGTCCTCGAGCAATAGGGATTCAGGCATTGTACAGGGTGAAGATTTCTCTCCCTCTAGCAAACTATTGAAAAATCTTTACTATTTAAAAATATAAACATGTTTTTCAGGTAAAGTTTCCTTCCATCTAGCTCTGTCCCATTTGTCACCTCTTGAATGTCAGATCTGTCAAACTATCTAAATATGAGCCATGCATATGAAAGGAGATGGAAGCCAGGTCAACAGACCCAATTCTGCAGGGAAAACGTCCCACAGAGCGCTTACGCTCACTCACCTTCCCTTTATGCTTTCAAGAGACTAACTGTTCAAGAATGCACGCTACCTAAATCATCAAATTAAGCCAGCAGAAAAGACAGCATCAAGGTATCCTCCAGCACTGAGAAAGACCACAAGAGTTTATGAGAGGAGTCAGCCTAGAAAAAAAAACTGCTTGGGGGTTAAAAACCAAATAAACAAACAAAAAATAGGAAGAACAGAACAGCACACTGCAGCATTGTGAAAGATGACAAATTTTAATCCTGGGCCATAAGGCAGAGGATGCAGACCAGTAAGGGCATCTTAATGTCATGGGAGTCTAAGACGGCTGTAAACCTGTGTGCTGCCCACATGGGTTATTTCCAGTGTAAATATTCCAACGGAGAGAAGCATTCACGTCCCTGTTATGCTTTCCTAGGCTTGGCTTTCTGCAAGCCGCTTCTCTCTGGTACATTTTTATTTGTATATACATACTTTGTTACTTAACTAACTTATACCACAGTCAAAACACATGGCTTTCCAGGTTAGAGGCCAAAATTGCACACATTCTTTCTAGATAATCCTGAACGACATGGTGGCAGTCCCAAACAGACCCAAAACATGCACTAATTTCGCATTTTCCAATATCAACACAACAATGTGGTTCTGGCTCATCTAAAAGTCAAACAAAAATGCGCAAAGTGTGGATTAAAAACAGTGCAAGTTTTCTGTATCAATGATTTCCCACACTGTCAATTAACAAGGGAATTTTGAAAGTGAAAGGAGGTTTGGCTAAAACGTGACATGTATCTGTCAAAATAATGAGATACTCAACTATCCATAAAAGAAACCTCTTAAAAATTTGCAGACAGCTGTTTGGACACACGTGGCCAACTTCAGATCTCTTTCAAATGGATGACATGCCAACCAGATACATTTGTTCATTCCAGGTCTGAGTTTGGACCTTCAGACAGAGAAAGTTTCATGTTTGAAAGTTGAATAAATCATGACATTGGATTCACAATAAGGCAAGGACCCATGCTAAAGATCATACAATTAACAAGGCCTCATTAGCTGAAGTTCTACGGGGACGGCAAATCAAAGTTATCGAACAGCAAACCTGCCAGCAGTCAGAATTCCTAATGCCACGCACGTGCATGTATTTAAATACGTTTTTCAAATGAAATTAGCCAACAAATTGGCCTTTTTGATTCTGGCAGCATAATTGTAGTCCAATATCAATACAGCTGAGAACACCAGTCTCTGAAAAAGAGGCAGCTGTATTGTAAGGTGAGATTACAAAACTCCTAAAACAGGACTCAGAACTGTGGAGCTGTTCAGAATTCTGATTTATTTCTATTTTTAAACTTGCAAGGCTTGTAATTAATGGCTCGAGGACATGAGGAGAATTGGAACAAATTTCAGCCTCAGCTTCCTCTGCATGTTGTTAATGGCCTCTCATTTTTTTTAATGGCTAGTCTGTCCACTAAGGCGCTCCAATTTTACCCACATCAGCCACATGTGATACAAGCTGCAGGAAAGCAAGTGAATTTTTAATCATCTCTCTGATGTACAGTATAATTGCTGACTTTTATCAGACAGTAGTTAAACAAAGACTTAGAAAGAAATAAATATTTCTTAATTGCACAACTGCCATTGCTCACAGTAGGAGAGCCTTTGAAATGAGTAACTGCTCCCCATTATCACGGCTACACACATACACAGACATGTACAAATAAGTTTAGATCAACACAGACGTTTAATTATTTCCCAACTAGGTATGTAAGTGTGTGTATGTGCTTATATTCCAACAGAGAGCAATTATTCATGTGTGACATTATCTTCCATGCACATGGGAAAAACATGCCTCTGAGCCCGTCCATATACCCCTACACACGTACATACAAGCTCCCAGTGTCTCTCACACAGGGAGAATCCTCCACGCTGTGTGATATATGGGTTTTACTCACATACTAACCCGGACAAATACATTATCTCTTTTTAGCTGTGTAGAATTAGCATTGAGACAGAGCGTGCAATGCATTCCTGGAGCCAACTCTCCTTTCCTTCTTACTCCATGTAAAATAGAAATTTTGACTCCTGGAGCATTACAGTCTTAAAAAGACAAAGGCACATATTTACAGCCCTGAATGTAAATTACTCCCTTGGAGCTGATGTTTCCTTCTACCCCCAGGACATCCCAATGAAAGAAACCATGCACTTTTATATCCACAAATGTCATCAGCACTTATTTCTGCACCTGTGATGCCTTGAGGACCCACCATAAGTTTAAAAAAAAAAAAAAAGCATAAAAAAAAAAATCATACAAACAATCCCTCCCCAATACCAGCCTGCTGTCAAAATTGCTGAGAGCTGTGCCATAATGCATTTACTTCATGTCTAAAGGTATAATCAGCGAGGCACATGTGTGAACCTGCCATTCAAGAAATGCCCCAGAGTTTAGTACCCAAGTCTGAGGCAAGAAAGATACAAAGGAAGAAAAATAATAGTGCTTACATCCAGTTGTGAGAAGATCAGCCAGGAAATGGCAAAAGCTGTGCCTATTTGGCAAGTAAAATGTAAAACATCTTATATTGTGATACGGGCTCACAAAAGTGCTGATAATAGATTAAATACATGTACTGTGCTGTTTTCAACAACTGCTGTTCTTTCCACTGTGCGGTTCCTACGGCTTTCCTTTTCCCTTTCAAGGGAAAAAAAAAAAAAAACACCAAACAAAATAACAAACCCATCCCTATTCCATTTAAATAGTTCAGGGCACCAGGTCTTTTGTACTAGAAATTGTGAGATACGTGATCAATTTGGCATAGGACTCCAGACTTTGTAAGGCTACACGTGAAAGCTCAGAATTCAGCAGGGAAAGAAATGTAATACTAGGGGCATTAAGTGCTGATTAAAGGGAGCACTTCTCTGAACAACTCAGACTTTGCTCATTTTCCTCTGCCCATCTCCGAATTCAGTACAGCAGTGCTCTGACACCGGTCCCCTTAGATTTTGCAGCAGATTTGGTGGCTCTTCAGAGGCTGTGACTAAAAGGCTGGCTTGCAAGTGCACAGCAACATCCCCCAATTTAAAACTCCGCTTTAAAGGATCATTCTTCCCCGGGAGAATGAATGAGACCAGGGTGTAGGTCAGTGTCCTGTTACCTTGCTGTACTCCTCCCAGGAGTTGCTCCAGGTCCAGTAGTGAGCCTTGTAAAGCCCAACTCTCACCGCCATCATCTCGTTGCCACGATAATAGAATATGGGCCTGAGAAGGAGAGCAAAGCTGCATGAGAAATGCCAACGCGACGGGTCCAGCCAGCCACTGCTGCCACAGCCTCGCTGATAAGGGAGACAAACACTTTAATGGCGTCTGACTTCCGATTCGGCTATCAGTCAGAAACAGGCTGCCTCCTAATAGTCTCCACTGCAAGGTTTTCAATTAACATTTTTTAAAGTGTTCATCAAGTTGAGAGCTCACAGGGCACAAGAATGAAACATTACACAGCTTGGCTGCCAGTGATTGTTAATCCTTGAACTATCAGACCCTGTTATTTCCTATAGAGCGTGCCGATTTAAACACCAAATGTCTCAGAAGTGGCGTATGTGTGCGTGCGCCAGAGAAACAGGGATTCACAGAATATGTGATGCTTAGCCTCTTCGCAGCAGCACCAAGCTATGTGCCATTAGTGTCACATGGACAGGGTGGCCGGGGAGGACACCAGATGCTGGCCTGTTCTGGATGACATCTCAGAAAAACTCCGTATGGAAAAACGTGGCAGCCAGACAGGCTTTATTTTTAACTCCTGTCCATTTTCTTTCCCCAAATCTCCCTTTACATCACCTAAACACACACTGAAAACTGCATTTTTTTCCCCGAGGTTTTCCTAATTGAAAATGTGTTTGAGAAATGCACCTCACTCAGGGCACTTGGTCTGCAACCGTGTACATGCACTACCCTTTCCCTGGGCATCCCAGCAATGCTCCTGTTGGTTTCCCCAATAACATGCTCCTGTTTTTTGAGGGAACATTACAAAATTTACTGAAACGGACTATCTGCAGGAGAGAGGTTTGATTTGTTGGTGCAGCTGATCACGCAAGGACATCAGACTTAGTCAGCTCTTCCCTCCAGTTGTTTCAGGCTGCTGACAGGATGAGATCTCGAAGCTGTTTCTCACTGTTGGTAGGGTACATACATCTACCTCTTTTGTTCAGAGATGCCACTCGGCAAAAACTACTCAGTCTGGTGATGCCACCTTGGAAAAATGGTCCCTAAATGCAAGGTAAGATTAAAATATCCACGTCCAAATGACGGGGGAGGCCTTAGATCTCTTCCATTTTAAAATTGTAGCCTCCCCTGCAGGTTCCTTGCACAATAAACCTTTCTCCTTTGTCACCAGGAACTGCCCATGAACAAAGGGGAACCGCTGCTGCCAGCAGAGCCCACTCCTGCATCCTTCACGCACCTGAAACGCCGGTGGAATAAAGGCAGCTTGAGAGATCTGCCGAAGCGCAGAACCTCATCTAACCCAGTCCCATTAACAGAAGCCCAAATACGCCACAAAGTATGCCAGTCTCCTTTTCCTTGCCACAAACACTCACTATTTGACAAGCTGTTATGTGCCCCTTTGATTGAAGTGTGGGGGCTGGGTTTTTGCTTTTAAAAAAAAAAAAAAATTTCCATCTTTGAAAGAGGATTACAGCTTGTACTCAAAATTCTGCCATTACCCACTTCTTTTTTACCACCATTCACTTTTTTTCTTTTTAAGCTTAAAAGAACACAACAACTGCATCTCCTGGAAACTTTTTGGGGGTTGTCAAAACTGTGACCTGGTCAGGTCTGAGGGGAAAAAAAAGGAGGAAAAAAAGAGGGGGGAAAAAAAGAGGGGGGAAAAAAAGAGGGGGGAAAAAAAGAGGGGGGAAAAAAAGAGGGGGGAAAAAAAGAGGGGGGAAAAAAAGAGGGGGGAAAAAAAGAGGGGGGAAAAAAAGAGGGGGGAAAAAAAGAGGGGGGAAAAAAAGAGGGGGGAAAAAAAGAGGGGGGAAAAAAAGAGGGGGGAAAAAAAGAGGGGGGAAAAAAAGAGGGGGGAAAAAAAGAGGGGGGAAAAAAAGAGGGGGGAAAAAAAGAGGGGGGAAAAAAAGAGGGGGGAAAAAAAGAGGGGGGAAAAAAAGAGGGGGGAAAAAAAGAGGGGGGAAAATGGGAAAAAAGGAGACAAAGAAGGAAAAAAAGGAGGAAAAAAAAAAAAGGACGGAAAAGAAAAAATGAGGGGAAAAAGCCACGATGCACCTTGAGTGACTGCAGTTCTGAGGGGTTGGTGGCTGCAATGAAATTCTCTTTTAAAACAACAAAGCAGCTTTACAAACTTTTAGAAGTAAAGCTCAGATGGGGGGTGTGTGAGGAATACGCAACGCCTCATGTCAGCCACTGGCTGAGCTCTCAGGTAATGCTGTACGCACGCTTCCTGTGTTAATGGGCACAAAAGCAGTTTTATGGAACAAAGCCTTACGTCCAACGCAGAAGTCAAATACATTTTCCATGTGTACGTTTCCTTGCTGCCTCACAAAGAATATGTTTGTATTCAGATTTCCCAGGCTGCTAAATTCCTCACCAAAATCACAACTACAAGACCTCTCCTGACCTCCAATCCTTCCGAGGAGAGCGCCAAGAATATTTGCTGTCAGATCTTAGCACCTGCACCCAACAGCTGACAGCACTCCTCCATGTCTGTAAACATCCCAGGTCTTTAACCCAAATCTATTCTTGCAAAAGCATCTACAGAAACAGGACCCTGGGAGGAGATGGCCTTCCAGTTCATCCTCAGCAGCCCTGCCTTTATCTCCAACCTCTCTCAGGCTGGGGCTGTATATGAGTCCCAGCGTACTCTTGGATGTTTTTCCAGTAATAAATAATGTATTCTCCCCTACCCAGCCTACAGTTCTCATGCTTTTATCTCCCCTATTGCCATATGTTGTTCCAGGGATCCCTGCTAACCCCCTGACATTTTCATCTGTCCCCAGGCTCCACTGTATGGCAACATGCCACATGTCAGGAAATCCCACCTCCGCTTGCACCGCCAGAGAATTAGCACATAGCGAAAAGCTCCGGTGCTACCCCACCTCACTGAGCAGGAGCAAAAGCTGCATCAATTCAGTTTATAAAATATTTCTGTAAGCTTGATTTAAAAAATAACCCAACGTTTGGCATCACTTCAGTTTGCAGGCAAGGGTCAGAGCTCTGGGCTCATAACTAACCTGTCAATTAGCTTGCCCTGCAAGATGGCAGGTAAAAGGTCGATGCCGTCAATCTGTCTGTCACTGGGAGGCTGCAGTCCCGCCAGGGAGAGGCTGGTGGTAAAGAGATCCATCACGTTGCCCAGCTGATGACTGACCTGAAACACCAACAGAAACGCGTTTGCAAAAAGACCTTCAGTAAAAGCCAAAAGGAAACAGGCTGGTTCCCACCAAAGCAGAAGTATTGCTTCCTGAACCTCCTCCTCCGCTAAGCATCTTTAGAGAATATCTCCCTTATGGTGCTGCAGTCCCCAGCAAGCCTCCTATTAAAATAATACAGGAGATGATCCATAATTCTCCACTACCAAGGAGCATTTGCATTTTGGTTCATCTTTTCGTATTCCCTTCTCACTTCTCTTTATGCATCTACTTTACAGGAGCATGTTTTTGCAGAGTTCAACTTAATTTAGGAAATTCCAAGTCATTTGTGGATTGAAAAATCAGCACTTAAACCAATTGAAAAAAAAAAAAAAAAAAGTCCTTGGTTTGTTCCCTCTCCAGGTCATCTCTGGAGTCCAGAATACCCTGAGAGAGTTCCCAGAAAGCACAGGGATAGATGGATAATAACAAAAAGAGCCCGATGACTTCATCTGCAAACCATTTCCAACAATTCAAGAACTGTAAAGTTGTGGTATTTTTAGTATATATTTTAATAAGGGAGAAAAACATCTGGGTTTGGCTCCAATGGAGATGTGCAAGCGTTCCCCCTCCCACCCCCTGTTTTTTTCCCATCCCTTAATTGTAAGCCATACTTATCTCTCTGGTCTTAATTATTTGTGTTTTAAAAATCTAAAAAGTCTGTTCTGACTGACTCCTTCCGAATCTTTGCTCCCATCCTCCTCGTGGCATGCTACAGTTACCTGCTGGAGGATGGTTAATTAGCCAGCAACACACTGAATCGCAGCAGATAGGCTCAAATCAAGAGCAAGGCTGTTCTGCACCAGGATGCACCAGCACACGGTGCGAGACGGAAAGCGCCTTTTCAGCCATACCACTTGTTTGGAGACAAGAAGCCATCTGATACAAGCCCACATCTGTGAGTACAGAAGCACTTTCTGACTGAAATCCAAGTCCTAGCAGCAGCCTTGCGAATGTCAGCGTGAACATTACGACGCTGGGACTATCAAAGACTTTTTATCTCCAAATCCTCTGTCTGCGCACAAGCAGACCCCCAGCCTGTAAGCTGACACTAATTATTTAAATACGACAACAAATGATAACGTGATAAATGAATTTTTGTGAGATGCTGGCTCTAGGAAAAAAAAAAAACTGAAGGGAAAATGCTGGTTTTGCTGGGATCACTAAGCCTTTTATTAAGAGACTGGGCTGAAAAAAGTGAACAGTTAAAGGAAGAATTAACAAGTTAAAAAGAAAAAGAAAGAAACTGGAGAAAGCAACATGCAGGGGACTGATTGCAAGTTTAACATTACAATATCACATTACTTGATTACAGTAATTTCAAATTTTAATGGCTTTCATTCATCAAAAGGTGTTGGCAGGAACACGTAATATTAAAGCTGCATGCATGAATACTTCCACAACCCTGAAGAAGAAAGCAAAGTGCAAAGCTCTAAGCACAAAAGGAAGCCTGACCATGGAAACCCTTGCCCAGAAAAGCAGTTGGATCAGTTGACCAAGAGCAAGAGATCTTGCCGAAGGTCTCAGGCATCTGAGGTTAAGCCTTATTCATGGACACTGCTGCAGCCTGAAAGAGGTCACGCTCAGCCTGTCCCTGTAGGCAGCGACAAACAGAGATGAGCCCAGAAATCCCTCACAAAAAGCAGATGCATGCATGAGGTTCCCTTTCTGCATGGAGAAAAAGATGGGCATCTTCTGATAGACAGCTGTGGAGAAGGAAACAGAACTGAGCTCTCCGATGGGGTAACCCTGCTTCATGCTCTCCCCGGGGCCATTTGGCAAACACAGAACCAACGCTGGCTGTGTCACCCACAGGATTAACCATGGCAGACAGCGCCACGTGCTCCTTGGACCGTCCCCTTGCACAGGCTCTTCTCCAGCCTCAGATGTGTGCTCAAAAGGACTGACATTAAAAAAAACTTAGTACACATGCATCCAAAAAAAAAAAAAAACCAAACCCCAAACCCAAACCATCGGCTCACACGTTACAGAGCTGGACAGCCTGGTGAGCCACTGGTGTTGGGAACGCTATGGTCCCTCTGAAGCCAAAGGGGATTACAAGTGCTCAGCATCTCGGCAAAGATGCTCAGTCCCTCGTAGGCTCATCTGCCGGCTAATTGACCCCGAGCGTGCCTTCGGAGAGCTGCGAGGTCAGCAGAACACCATATGCAGAGCTTGGAGTCTAATAAAGAGGAGATCTGGCACACGCTTGCTCCCTGACAACTGCTACGTCAGGAGCAGGCGAGCAAACGACTGCCAGAGACTTTTTGTAATTAGACCTCTCTCAATTTATAAGGCAAATGCAAAAGTCACTTTTCTTCTCGTCGCTCCATTCCCTCGCCTCAATCTTTTGATAACAGGCAGCAAGAGGCAATCGCTGACCTGAGACTCGTGCTTCTAATATCACCTAATTTATACATCGCCTTGTGACAATCCTGTGGGGCCACCATGGTCTTCTTGTACTGGCCCTTATTAACCATAACCAGATGTAGATGACTCTCTTTAATCATCCAATTACGTTTCTGGTCTCAGACAACATTTTTCCGTGAAGCAGAGAAAACTTCTTAAGGAAATTAAATGCCCATGCCACAGCCACTTGGATTTATCTGTGCTCTGCAGCACCACATTGAAGAAGGGGGGGAAAAAAGGTTAATATTTATATAAAACTTTGAAGTATTTTCAGAGAAAAATAAAAAAATTACCATTTTTCTCCTGTCAACAGTGCTCTTTCATTCTAGTTGCCTTTCCCATTTATTTATTTTTTTTTTTAAGAAAAGAAAAAGAAAAATCCAGAGAGGGCAACAGCCCAGAGAAAATAAATAATATATAAAAAAGAGTGAGATCAGATATTGCTCGTATCAGTGAGAAACAGCCGGTATTACGCACGTAAGAACGGATTTTTCCCCCCTCCTTTCCCCCCCTTCTTTTTAATAAACTCTCAGTATACACATAACGTCTTTAAGAAAATGAAATCCTTTTGCTGTGGGCCACGTCGCTAGAAGAAATAGTCACCACTGCTGTTATCAGTGCTTTCAAGCTTTAACTCTGAATCAAAGGCGACAATTAATAAAGTCGCCCCCGCCAGGAATGGAAAGGAGGAAAGCTAAATATTTGAAACTGGGTGAACAAATGTCAGGGTGTTTTTAAATAAAATCCTTTTACAGTTATCACAGCAAGCAGACCTGATATCCCTGTCTAATTCAATTTCAATTTGCGCCCCATGGGAGATAGTGAAGAAAAGGTTGCAATGCTGTCTTTGGGTTGATATGTTCTTTTCTCCTTCAGGAAGCAGGCACGAGAGAGGAAGGGGAGGAGGGTGAGGGAAGAGAGGAGGAGGATTCAAATACCAACAGAATATGATTTTTTTTTTTTTTTTTCTCCAGCTGGATCCTTCCAGAAGGCAGATGTGATGTGGGGAATGTTGAAATGCTGATTTGTTGTGAATTCACCTGGAAAACATAGCTGAGGAGGAAACTGCAGAAAGGCTGTTTGTGTGTGAATAAATATTCCTGATGGGGGACCAGAATTAACTGAATGTTGATGCCAAGAGCAACACGCACGAGGCATCCCTCTCCCCCAAAAAACTGCAAATCAGCCAACTGCACCAATTATCCGAACCTCTATCAACGTCCTGTCAGGTGTTCACAATCCTGTCACCTAACTTCCTTTGTTTAAATAAAAAGGTGCTCCTTTATTTAAGCAAATGTACCCTTTAATAGAAACAAAACCCCCAGTCCTATATATCAATAAGATATTAATAACTGCCAGATCCCAGCAGCGGGATGAGCCTTCCACCCACGGATTTCACTGCCCAGAGGCACGAGTCCTCTTTTTCTGGCTGAAACGGTGCCAGCCGAAATGGTCGCTGGCCCTCCGCCTGCTCCTCAAAACATCCACGGGTGGAAAGGAACAACCATTGCACCGGGAGCAACCCCAGCGCAGGAAGGAGGAGTTGACCCTTCAGCTTTGTGCTTGGCACTCCTGAGAAGCTCCTTGCTTCCACCCCGGTTCAGGGCTCCCGAGCCTTTGTTTCCTTCAACTCTTTTGAAAAGAAAGAGCAAGGAGAGACTTTGAAGCGGTTTCCCCACATTTTACAGATTCTTGGACTACACAGGACTTTGGCTGACTAGTTTAAACTCGCAGTCGAGAAGACGTTGAAGCTACAGACTCCATAAGATACAGAAAAGAAGCCAAAAATGTACTAGCAAACACGTGCCTCTCCACTTACTGTGTCAAGGGAAGAGGCGATTATGAAGCAATAACTACAGGCACCCTACAGGCCAAGGTAGTGTGAGCTGTATTACACAGAAGCAATGCCAAACCTCTCACCTGCGGTCAGTGCTGCTGTGGGTACCAGTGCTGGAGCCTCGACGGCAAGAATACAAGCAGAAAAGACATATAAGTAGCTATCACATATTTACTTATCAGTAGCATCATACGGGGGTCTAACTCAGAGCAAGGCAGCACATCCTGGGGACAGAGCGCAGGACAGACTTTGCAAGGTACCCAAGTGGCGTCCCAGAGGACATCTGGGAGTGTAACGCTTGCATGTGCAGACAGTTGGCAGGCAGCGTCGTGAACTGGAGCCCAGGACAGGCAGGATTTAAAGTTAAGCACGTGCTTAAGTGCCAAGGATGATAGCAGCAGCGGTGGAGGAGGGGGTTTTCGGGCACATGCCTGCCCAATAAGCCTTAAGCGCATTCTCCAGCTCGCTGAGCATGGGGTCATGAAGGCACGGTGTCTGTCAGTCCACCCACCTATGCAAACACCTTAACTCTGCACAGAAATGACTGTTCACTCACAGGAATTCAAACAGCAGCTTCAGCTGTGGCCTCAGGCAGGAGGCCACGCATCACACCAGGCTACTGAGAACGTGTTGCACCCCGTAAAGCTTCACTGCTGCACTACAGGCAAAAGACTACCTGTGAGAGGGGTACCAGCCAGTTACAGTCAGAAAATAAGTAGGCATGTTCCTGATTATCCTCAGAGTTACTACAACGGAAAGAATTTTTAAATTTGGTATTTACTTGTCCCCATTTATAATGCATGTTTACTTTTAGCACATTATTCAGTTTGGACATGGAAAACAAAACAGTCAGCTTCAGTTTCATGTTCTCGTATGCTAGCCCAAGGCTGTTGTACTTGGCTTGTAATGGCTTTATGGAAATGTTTAAATTTAAACAAAAAGACTGTTTTCATTTCAAATTAAAAAAATAATAACACATCCCTAGTAGGTTTTGTGAACTCTTTAAAAATGATGAAACCAAACTACCCTTCTGCCCTCAGCTCCAGATCTAAGCTATCTGATGGCTTCCTCCTAAATGTAAACGATAAATTATCGTTATCCTGACTCAATTAAACCACTGAAAAGGAATGCAACTTAGAAAAATGTTTTATTTATGAACAGTTTGCAGTCTTAAGCACAGTGCCCAGTTAATGAAGTATCACTTTCTTCAGGGATGAGAGATACTCACAAAGGGGAGGGAATCTGTATTATTTACTGTGAACCCTGCCTGCAGAAGAATTGATTGCATCTTTCTTTAATGAGAACTGGGACAAGAGAGGCTGGTAGTGCCACTGGAGGATTATTTTGAAGTGATCATATCTGAATTTGTGTACAGGCAGGAAAGAGCAGTAGTCTGGTATCTAGACCTCCCCGAGTGGAACTTTCATCAAACATCAAAGTGAGAGCCGTGAGGGTCAAATGATTTGATACTTCAGGGCACAGAGAGTGTGTGTGGGCAACACACCCCTGCTCCAGACTGGGACACACATTAGCAATGTGTCTTTATTCTTCAATTTGTTCAAATATGTAACCCACTACAAAAACTGTGGTCCAAAAGAGTAAAGGGTTTAAATAAAGCAGGAAGAGAAAAAAAGACCAGACCTCTTAGAAGTGTTGAGCACAGACGCTCTAGATGCAAATTTGCAATCATGAACAGGACTGGCATCCTTCTCTAGGGGAAGAATTCATCTCCTTGTTTAGACAAGCATCTGGACTGACACGTTGGGCACGTTGAAGTCTGATCCAAAGCCCACTGAAGCCAGCAAAACCCACTCCATTCACTTCAGTCCACTTAAGACCAATCAGAACCGTTCAAAGCAGATACTCACCCCTCCTGCAGGTATTCGTCCGGGCCACCAAGCAATAGCTGGCTCTCTCATGCCACCTTCAAAGGTGGTTTGTTTGCCACACAGAAAACGGCCATTGCTTCCTCCTACCGAGAGAAAAGAAGCCATGAACCCCACAATACGCAAATACCATATTTCAAAGGGACACTGTCAACTAGGAAATTTTTAGGCTAGTTTTAAATGAATTTTCATTTCTACATGAATGCTTCTTCAAATAACATGTCCAGAGCTGGTTTGTGGTTTTTGTTGTTGTTGGTTTGTTTGTTTGTTGTATTGTGTTTGGTTTTTTTTTTTAATATCCCTTTATGATGATGTTTTAGGAGTGTCTTTTCAGGTCAGGGAGAAAGTGACAGTTAAACACAACTTGCTATCATCCAAACAAAGAAACCAAAACCCAAACAAACAGAAAATACTTTGCTGGCACTTTCCTTCCCTTTAAGGATGTTAACTGCTGTTTGTAACTAAATCTGGCACTTTCAAACAGAAATAGTATTTTTTCCATAATCCTTTTAAAGTAGCAGAGCAGTATTAGATGCAGATATGAGAATGAGAAAAATAACGCATTCTCGGAACGTTCACTTGCAGAGATAGCAAGTGCTCTGCAGGAATGTCGGGGTTTTTAACCCAGCCTTGCAGCTAAGCTTGCTGAGGAACAAACAGGGGTGGTCTCGTGACTGATTCCAGGTCACACAAAGTCAAAGGCAGCAGTTCAGCTGAAATCAGAACTCAGGATACTCCCTGCTCTGTGGTCCAATAACCACAAGACAGCCTGCCTCCAAACTGAAGAGAGTGGGTTATAAAATCAATGTGCAACGTCTCTGTTTGAGAGAAACAACCATTTAAACAAAAGACAACTTGTGAAGTAACAAAAATACTTTTTCTTCTTGACAGTTTTCATGAGAGCTGAAGAAGGACGGATGCTTGAACTGTCTGTAATTACTCTGAAAGCTCAAACATGCATTTGGCAGGCAGAGAGTAAGCACCCTGCTAAGTTATTGTGGCTGGTCCTAAATAAATTAAAAAATATTCACCCCCTGACAGTGAAGCATAAAGTGGAAATGCACACAGGTGAACCACCACACTGGATTAGGCCAAAAGTCCATTTAGCCAAGGATACCTCCAACAGTGACCAGAAGTAATGAACATAAGCTAACTCTAAACATAAATGCTCTGCATTTTGAGGCTTCTCCTAACTGTGGAAAGGAAAACCCCATGTACAGGTCTCTTTTTTTTTTTTTTTTTTCCCCCACAACCTGGGAATTTAAGTTTTGATTTACAA